AATTGTCCCCTCCCTCCCTCAGTAGTCTACCCTAAAGTGGCATGATTCATATATGACCACAGATTAACAGTTACGTTCCTTCTACAATTTACTTAACTTTCTGATCATTTTGTTATATATAACTACCTGAGTCCCCATTATTGCCCTCCATATCAAGAGTAGTTTTTGGGGAAAGATGCACATGTACCATATACACACATTGTGGTAGGAACACCTGGGTATTTTGCATTTGTTGAAAGGGTACTTCTGCTTTTCTTATTTTGCGAGAAGAATGTTAAGTGAGTGGAACGTGGAGTTATGTACAAGAGGGAGGAAAGGAAAATAGACCTGGAATGAGTCCCTCATTATATGAGACTGGTGAGGGAATTTGTACTATTTAGAAAGAAAACTTGAGTCCAAATTTCAGAGATGAGCTGGCAAAGACAAAGAACTGGTCTCCTTGTCCTTTGTTTTAAAATTAACTTTATTATCATTTGTATACAATAAACTGCATTCATTGAAAATGTATAACTTGGTGTGTATACTTGTTAAACCACTGCTACAATCAAGAGAATATTTCTCTTATCTTCCAAAACTACTTCTTGACTCCTTTCTGTCCATCTCTCCCTTTACCCTTGCTCCCAGACAACTCAGATCTGCTTTATCATCACAGCTTTTTTTGTGTTGTCTAGGATTGTGTATAAATGGAATAATACTCTTATTTCTGAATTCTTACATTCAATATAGTGATTTTGTCATTAATTCATTTCTTTGTGTGTAAATTAGTAGTTTTTAAAATTGCTGCATAATGCCCAATTGTACAGATGCACTCCTTTCTGTTTATCCAGCACCTGTTGGTGGACATATAGATTATATCCAGTTTTGCTTCTAGTACAGAAAGCTGCAATAGATTGTTTCCAATTTTTGATTATTTTGCATAAACTTCTATAAATGTTTGTGTACAAGTCTTTGGACATATGTTTTCATTTCTTTTGTGTAAATATTTGGGAGTGGAATGTCTGTGTCATATGTTTAACTTTTCAAGAAATTACAAAACAGCGTTTTCAAAGAGATTGTACCATATTACATACCCACCAGTGAAGGATGAGAGTTCCAGTTGCTTGACATTGTCACTTACATTTATTATTGCTCAACTTTTTAATTATAGTCATTCTAATGGATGGATAGTGGCATATCATTGTAGTTTTAATTTCAGCTTACCTGATGAATAATAATTTCAATTTCCCTGAATAATGTGCTTTTTATCTTTTTATGCCATTCATTCATTTTATCTTTTTATGCCTTCATTAGTGAAATGTCTGTTCAAATTGTTCATTTCTTACTGAATTCTTTGCTTTCCTATTATGAAGATGTAAGGGGTCTTTATATAGTCTGGAGACAAGTTCTTTGTTGTTACATACTTTGAATCTTTTTCTACTACTATGTGGGGTGTTTTTTAAATGTACTTAACCATGTCTTTTTCAAAGAGCAAAAGTTTTCAATTTTGCTAAGTCTGATGTTTTCCTTTAAAGTTCATTGTTTTTGTTCTAGCTAAGAAGTCTTTAGAAAACCCAAGGCCGTAACATTTCTCCATTCTATTCTTGGAATTTTATTGCGTTAGGCTTTAACTTAGGCTTATGATAATTTTGAGTTAATTTCTGTATGCAGTTTGAGGTAAGAATTGATATTTTCAAGTATGGATATCTGATTGTTTCAGGACCACTGAATCTCCTTGACACATGTATTAAATGTCATTGGCTGTAAAAGTATGGATCTATTTCTGGACTCTATTCCGTTGCATTGTTTCAGATAGCAATTTTTATGTTGATACAACAACACTGTTTTGATTACTGTAGATGCTACCAGTTCTCCACTTTGGTTTTTTCCAAAATTGTTTGAGCTACTCTAGATCTATCAAATTTCTAAATAAATTTTAGGATCAGCTTGTCAATTTCAGTGTTTCACTGAATGCCTGTTGAAATATTGGCTGGGATTGCTTTGAATCCATACATCAATTTGGTTAGAACTGACAGCTTAACAATTGATTCTTCCAATGAACTAAGACTTGGAATCTTTCGATAAATTGATACATGTTTTATTTCTCTATTTATGAGATTCTTCCATCATTTCTCTCAGCAGTGTTTTGTAGTTTTCCGTGAGGTGTACTCATACATCTTAAATATATTCCCAAGGTTTGTTTTTTCCTTTTTTACTCTTAAAGATCAAATATTTAAAATTTATTTTCCAATTTTTTACTGCTAGTATACAACAATACAGTCTTTTCTGGTATTAACTTTACATTCTGCAACTTCGGTAATTCATATAAATTTTAGTAGTTATTGCACGGATTCCTTGGAATTTCCCATATAAATACACATCCCATCTGTAAATAGCATCCAATTTTTTTCTTCCTTTCTTCATTTGCAGTTTTTTGTTTTATTTTTAGACGAAGTCTCATTGTGTCACCCAGGCTGGAGTGCAGTGGTGCAATCTTGGCTCAACTGTAACCTCCACCTGCTGGATTCAAGTGATTCTCTTGTCAGCCTACTGAGTTGCTGGAACGACAGATGTGTACTACCAGGCCTGGCTTATTTTTGTATATTTGGTAAAAATGGGGTTTTGCTATGTTAGCCAGGCTGGTCTTAAACTCTTGACCTCAAGTGATCTACCTGCATCTGTCTCCCAAGGTGCTGGGATTACAGGTGTGAACCCTTCATTTGCTTTTGATGGGATTTTTGTTTCACTTGTTGGTTTTTCTTTACCTTTATTTATTCTTTTATGGGCAGTTTTCACTGTTGTTCACAGGACATAACCCAGCACTACATAGAAACCTTGTCTTAGAAATGACAGTGGGAAGAGGGCATGAGCACAGCAGATGCACAGGAGCAGGTGGGGGCAACAGGATTTTTAAAGTAAGGTTGGGTATTGTTTGTTTTGAGTTTTATAAGCAATTTAGCAGAGATCCCAAACTGCTTATCTTTGAGGGGCAGGAAGACAACTGATTGAATAAAGAAAATGAAGTTGCTGTGAAAGGTGTACAGTTAGCCAAAAGCAGGGCTAGACTTCAGCCTTGCGTCTGTCACACTGAAGTCCTTGGGAGCTGATTGGAAGGAAGGAAAAAATGTGTTAAAGATCTGAAGGGAACTGGATTCCCTGTGCCTGGAAAACAGTTACAGACTTTTAAACTATTAGTGATTTCCATGTCAGCCATCGGCAAAAATGCCAATTGGATACGTCTTCTCCTTCCTCTGCCCACCGGCCGGGGAAGCAGTCTCAGTCTCTCAGTCTTAAATTCTGAGCCATTCTTTCTTCTCCAACAGTATTATTCTCACTTTCCAGAGTCTGTTGCCACCTTCCACACAACAAAGGCTCTCAGTTAAATTCTACCCCGTACCCAGCCCTTGATCTTAGTTACATTTTAATAAGCTGGGTCTGAAGATGTCTTAAGTTCCAAACAAGTGAAAGCAGAAGTAAAAGAACAATACATATAAAAGGGAAGGAAGTAGCAATTATTGAGCAGGTACTGCATAACATCCAGAAGTTGTTATTTAATCAAAATAAGATAAAAAATCAGATTTTTGTCTTCATCATAGATAAAAGGACTGGGTTCAAGAGGTTAAGCATCTTGTTCTAGACTGTATAAAAATGAATTTGAGAAAGAATTTGAACCTCAGTCTGAGTTTTAAATAAAGGCCCTTTTCATTGCACCCTTTTAGTTCTTCGATATTACTGAGTACCTTCATCGTATAACGTATCTGCTGACTTACCACTGACCCTGTGATATGAGATTGTATACTTGATTGCAGGAGCGTATTTGCCATTTTATTCCCCACTCCTAGCATAGGACATGGCAAATAGTAGGTACTCAATGCTTGCTTGCCTAATTAATGTAAATATCCACAAACCATGTTTCTATTTGTGTTATTTATTTTAAATGGCTGACCACATATGTTTTGAGTGGGAGTCAGATAGGTAAATAAGCAATTCACTGTACATAGTGATACCAGCGATGCTAGAGGAACAAAGAAGCACAAAGTTAAGGAAGCACAAAGAAGAGGCATCTAATGGGAGGTTACCAAAGGCTCTCAGAAGAAGGGATATTTTGATACTAAATGTGAAGAATGGTGCAGCATCAAAGACATTCCAAACAGGGTGCAGTTGTGCAAGATTGGATGTGAGAGAGGTTGACACATCTAAGAAAATGTAAATAGCTCAATATGGATGGACACAGAATGTGAGCCATAGAATAATGAGGGATGAGGGCAGAGAATAAAATAGGCACCGAATATGAGAAGACTGTGATGCTATGTTAAGGCTTTATCCTGAGAGAGCCACCAAAGGTATCTAATCAGCAGACGGCAGGGTCAGATTTTTAATTCAGAAAGAACTTGGTGTTTTATTATGGAAAGTGGTTGAAGGGGAGAGCACATCATGGGGAGACCATGGCTGATTTCAGGTGAAAGAGGATGGTGATCTACTCTAAGGTGAAGAGTGTGGGACTGGGGCAAGTGGGCAGATTTGAGAGAAAATGTAAAAGTAATGGAATTTGGACATGGATTTAATTTTGAGAGTAAATGGAGAAAGCGTTGATAAGGACGATTCTTGGGTTTTGGGCTTGAGAAAATGGTGGGCATAGTGTCATTTAATGGCCTCTCTTGAACCCAGGTGAAGATTAGAAGAATATCACCAATGACTGTCTTCCCAGATAATTTACTAAAGCATTAAATTCATCTTTATTTCACTAAATTATTAGGTCTCCCTCCCGGCTAATATGTCGTATCTCTTTATCATAGCATCCTTTTCTGTGTCAGTAAGACTGCAAAGCTTATCTTCGTTATTGGTTCCTCCTCTTGGCGCCTCCCATCCCTCCACTTTCCATTAGTCACCAAGGCCTGTTAATCATTGCTTATCAATCAGTGTCTTCTGAGTCAGCCTGTCTTCTATCCCCACCAGTCTAAGCCCTTATCCCTTGATGCCCACACTATTTCCCAGCCAGCTAGTTTTCTAGTTTGTCTCCTTACCTCCAGTTGCGCCCCAATGCACTCCATCTGGCATCCACAAGGAGTGATTTTCTTTAAACTGTTTTCATCACCTCTCTCCCTCAGATGTGTTCAGTGCAGTCTTCCCTAGCCAGATGAGTTACTCATCAGCTTCCCAGCATGCCTTATGCATTTGCACCTAGGGAACCTTTGCATAGAATGTGGCTTTCTCCTAACATTCTCCTCTGCCTTCTTAAGCAGTCTTCATTCTTTTGGGCTCAGTCCAAGCCTCCATGAGCCTTCTGTGAGCATCCATAACAATCTCTCCAGTCCCTGAAATCCTCTGGCACATAAAACCAATTTTGTTCAATTTCTTGTGTTCTCTATGTAAGTCTTGTCTCCCTAGCTGAGCAGAAGCCTCCTGAAAGCTGAGATAATATGCCACTGCCCCAGCCTGTGGTGTACATGCAGAAGGGATCTGATTCTGATCAGTCCACTTGCTGTTATTTCTTGCTGCCAGTTGCCTTTGTAATTGAACACAGATTACGCTAGTTGGATGGGTAACTGTCCACTGCATTTGAGGTGTACATGCCAGTCTAGGTCCCTGCCCAGTTAATATCAGTGACCAATGTTTGGTGCCATGATCACAACTCTGGCTTACATTCCCACACTCAGCCATTGTTCCTCATGCACACTGCTGGCTCTGAGGGGCTAGATCTGGAGAGTCTTCTATTTTGGCCAGTCATGGTGCAAAGTCAGCTCTCCTATAGGAATGTCTATCCAGGAAGCCCTGTCACTAGACCAGGTGCCTTCTGTCCTTTTGGATAGCTCCCTTTAGGAGTCCTCTTAGTAAACTAGTATAATTTCTTCTTCAGAAATCACATTTTCCTATCAAGGTTTATCTCAAGCTGTATATTTTTCTGGCTGCTGCAGTCTTCCTTACTACTTTCCCCTCCTTCAGCAAGGAATTCCTATCTGCCTTACATGAACATAGTTAATAGGGTGAGAATAGGTATTGGAGGAGGGTCAGTGAATAATGTAAGTGACCCTAACCAGAAAAGAAGTGATTCACCTCAAGGTAATCCATAGTCACACCTTACACAAAGGAGAGAGGCTTGTGCCAAACATAATTTTCTGTCTGCCTCTTCCTCAACCCCAAATCCATTCTAATCACACTCTACTGAGGAGGCTACTGTGTACAGACAGCATCCCCAGGGAACGTCTGCCCAGTGCTTTCCATGAGTTTGGGCAAAAGATGGGGGCATCTTCAGGATACTGCAGGCTGGGAAGTGAAATGAGAAGAGCCAAGTATTTATTTCCCAATTGCCTGCTTGCCTCATAGCAGCTCTGGAACTGCCTCAATAATCTATGGTGGCTGGGTGCAGTGACTCGTGCCCATAATCCCAACACTTTGGGAGGCCGAGGTGGGTGGATCGCCTGAGGTCAAGAGTTTGAGACCAGCCTGGCCAAGATGTTGAAATCTTGTCTGTACTAAAAAATACACATATTAGCTGGGTGTGGTGCTGGGCACCTATAATCCCAGCTGTTCAGGAGGCTGAGGGACGAGAATAGCTTGGACCCAGGAGGCAGAGGTTCAAGCCAGTGAGCCAAGATTTCACCATTGCACTGCAGTCTGGGCAACAGAGCAAACACTCTGTCACAACAAAATTATCTATGGCAGAAGGTCTGGCCAGGTGTCCTTTCTTCCATGACGTCAACTCTCCTGGCTTCAGTAACACCATTGCCTCCCTGTGACCTTTAGGGTCTGGAGTAGTAACAGTTTCCCACTGTTGAGAGTCCCTGGGCACTTGAACAACTCTTGACAGTTCTCTTAGCCCTGTTTCTTCACCACATTCTCATTGGCTAAACTCTTCAACATGCTGTCTGTCTGATGCATGGAGCCTCATTCCTACAATGCCCTCTCAAAGAGCACCTAGAGTTATCTTTACTGCTATTGAGGGATGGATCTGGGTATCTGTCTCTCCCATGACACAAAGCATGTGACTGACTGACTACTATAAAATCATTTAATACCCTAGAGAAAGATATTAATAAGCTAGACTTAGTTCTGTGTGAATCCAGGGTTCCTGTTGAGGCCAGCCATGCTTCCAGATGTGAATTCTGTTAGCACTGGTGCCTGATACTGCACTGTGGATTTGGTCCTTTACCCTGCAGGGCCTTCAACTAATAAAGAAAGATTGAGACAATATTATCCTATGCTCTGATAGTGCTGGCACATTGAATAGATTCAGTAGCCTATCTAAAACCCAGCTAAATGTCTCTTCCATTTTCCAACTCAAAAATTCTAAGACATTGGGATGGATATTATTGATAAATCTAGCTAATTTGCAACTGTCTGAGAGAATGGCTCTGGAAAAAATTATTCCAAGAAGGCTGATGCTTAAACATTGCTACCTTTGGGGTAATTGGAGGTGATCTGTTTGCAGTCCCTCTTTCTGTTTAACAAGGACAATGTTCGTTTTCAGCACTGAAAGGACCACTAGTCATCTGCTATAATCAAAGACAAATTCCAAGCAAATGCCTTAGTAGATATTGCTGCTCTGCTGCTTGTTGGAGGCCTCAGTGACTCTTGTTTCAATTATCTTGTCTCCATATATCATGTTCCTGTAAGAAATTTCCAACATATTTTCAAGTTATGTTAGCTGAGTATTTTCTCTGCCAATCTTTAAATTAGTGTTCCTGTATTAAGAAGCAAAGTTTCTACTTTTTGCTTCATAATTATTCTTCCCAATGGAAAAAAGGAAGGAGAAGGAAAGGATCTCAGGATTGTTTCTCTCGGAATGTAGTTTACCTGTCTCTTGGGAAGAGGATTTTTCAGCCATATGTAAAGCTGAAACATCCAGAAGGGTCAACACATGCAAATTTGAAGCAAGAGTTTCCAAAGCAGGAGTCCAGCACCAGTCCTGTCACACATGCGTAAAACAAATGATCCAATGGGAGCAGCACATAAATCACTCGATAAAGTGTGCCAAAAATTTCCTTGCATTCTTTCCAGAATCTGAAACCCAAACATGCAAGAGTTCCAAACTCTTACCTAAAAATTCTGAAGGGAAAATGAACTGTGAATAGCTATGGAGAAAGCATAAGCAATTCATCCACCTGATGGGACCACCTGCTAAGCAGCATTCACACAGTGTTTTGTGTCCAGCTATGAATCAAAATTCTTGAGCTAAGTTTAGGGCTTAAAAAGCCAAAGACTCCTGTCATCATCCCCACTGTTATTTACCAGTGACTAAGCCAGAACTGGTGTGAGTTGCTACGTTTCTTTAAGGCTGTTGATCTACGTGGGTTGTGTCTGATTTGAGGGAGGAGCCTGGGCTGGTTTGAGGCGTGAAGGTTAATGGGTAGTGCAGTAAATCATGGTCATAGAAACTAAGGACATTTGGAGGTGAGGACTTTAGTTTCTTAACCCACTGCATGTCCATGGAAGAGAGAACTCTGTGTGTTAGAGATGTCTAAGGCAAAATACTTCCACATATATTTTAGTAAGTGTGCTCTTGTACAAGACACAGTATCTTGTATAAACTTTGCTGAAAACCATTTATGGAATAGACAGGAATGTTTATTTTCTATGAGAAATAAACATTTCTCAAAGAAAAATGTCAGCTCTACCAGGTATAGGAAGTAAATAGGCTCAAATATGAGGGGCTAAAAAAAAAAAGAAAAAAAAAACACTGGAAAAAGAGAAATGGATTGCCCTCAGTGTTCTGCTATAAAATCAGTGTTCTGAAATAGATTTGGGGCATACAAAGCCTTGCACAAGATGTGATTAAATGTTTTATGTTTTAGTTTGCCAGAGCTGCTATAACAGAGCACCACAAGCTAGGTGGCTTAAAACAGCAGATATTTATTGTCTCACGGTTTTGGAGACCTAGAGTATAAAAATAAGATGACTTCAGTGAGAGAGGGACATCAGCATGATGGCAGAGTGGGAGAGACCAGTCTTCATCCTCCCACAAAAATGAACAAATAGGGGCCGGGCATGGTGGCTCACGCCTGTAATCCCAGCACTTTGGGAGGCAGAGGCGGAGGTGGGTGGATCACGAAGTGAAGAGATTGAGACCATCCTGGTCAACATGTTGAAACCCCGTCTCTACTAAAAATACAAAGAATTAGCTGGGCACGGTGGCATGTGCCTGTAATCCCAGCTACTCAGGAGGCTGAGGCAGGAGAATTGCCTGAACCCAGGAGGCAGAGGTTGCGGTGAGCTGAGATCTTGCCATTGCACTCCAGCCTGGGTAACAAGAGCGAAACTCCATCTTAAAAAAAAAAATGAAAAAATAGTCAGGGATCCATGAACAAAAATATCCTTGGGAAGGCTCAAGACACAAATGAAGAATCTGCAATAACACGGTGGGGCAAAAATGGAGAATAAGTACACAGACAGGATTGTTGGGGAGCTCCTGAGATGTCTGGGCATGGTGGGGATCAAAGAAAAAGGGAGAGGCTATCAGGATTCACTATACAGGAGGTGCCACTGTGGTTCCCAATGGCCGCCTTTGCAGAGGACACTGGCATCTTTCTTTACTGAGGTTACTAAGTTACTAAAGCAATTCCTGCTGTTGATCCTCTCTCCTGGTAAGGAAGTTGCTGTTGCACCTCCCCCCAGCCCTCCACAAACACTCAGTTGTGCTGCCCTGGGACTGGGGCCAATACCTCTCCAAGCCTTGCATGTACTTCAGACCCTGAACCTGCAGTCACTCTTGTGTATGTCAGCACTCTAGACCCCAGCTCCACAGCTATTCTCTAAGTGCCTGTATTCCAGTCCCTGGGTCTGCAACCACACTGCATGTGCCCACACCTCAAATACTGACAATCCTGCTGAAAACTAGCCATGCCCTGGGCTTTGGATCCTTGGTTGCTCTGTGTGAACCCACACTAAGGACACCAGCTCCATTGCTGCTTCATGAATGCCTATGCCTCTGACACCTGAGTCATCTTAATAGCGAGCCTGCCCCAGATCTTGGAAGTGATACAGCATCTTGTGTGTTTGCACTCCAAACCTGGCTCTGTGGCTGCCCCAAACATACCCATGCCTGAGAAACAGGAGCCACACTGCACTGAGCTATGTGGCTGGACACCCTGGACCATGGAGCTATGGTCTCTCTGGGCACACCTGCACTCCAGACATTGGCTCTGCTCCCACAGTGAGTTAGCCCATATCCTGAACTCTGGAGATGCTATAGGTCTATATACATCTATGTTTCAGACTACAGCTTTCTGGCTGCTCCAAAAGCACTCACATCTCTCATACTATTATCAATGAGGCACCGGTGCCATTGTTGCCCTGGATCTTACAGCTGTGGTCCCTCACATGTGCCAGTCACCTAGTTTCCTGTCTCTGACTGCTCCATGAGTGTCACACATTAGACATCAGTGCCATTGCCAGCACCTATAAGCTAGACCCAGAACCAAGAGGGGATTTTTTTTTTGCCACAGTTTCCATGGTGGAGTAAAAAGGAGGAAATCGGTAGCCTTCACCGCAACACCCCAAAAGCCCTCATTGCCACTGAAGATGCCTACAGCACTGGCTGTAGAGAACAACTGCAACCTTTGCTAATGCCAACTTCAGCTAACAGACATGCATGGAGATTATGCTGCTGCACCGTCACCAGAGCCAGAA